TCTTTCTTCTTTGCGGCTAATCCCATTTTCCTCTAGTTGTGTTTCCCTTCCTTCAATTACCAAAACAGGACAGCATCCTCCCCTGGGGCCACTGGCCACTTGTACTTTTTTTAAAATTGACTCTTCCTTCCCTAAACTCCTGGGACAGCAGCTTCTCCCTCTACCTCCCTTCCTCCAAGCCATGAATATCTACCATTTCCTCTGAAATATAGTCCTAGACCTGAAACGAATAAGTCACCAGAAAAGGAAACCTGGAATGAGAGTATATCTTTTACTTTCTTAATACTTTTTTGGTTATTTTCACCTTGGCTTCCCCTGCTCACAGTCTGCATTCTATTTATGAGGGAAAAATACAATAAAGATACTTCTGACAAGGAAGAATAAGACTAGAGGTGGCAGATCAGTGTTGGGTGATGGTCTCTAAAAGTCCCACATGGCTTACTTCTTGGGAAGTGTGACCCGCTTTACTCAAAGGAATTTTAATATCTTCTGGGGCCTATCACAGACAGAAGCTGAATGAACAGAGCCCAACTTGACTGAACTAATCAGCCTGCCTGGGAATATGCAAATCTTCTGACTGAGCAACAGGTTTTGAAGAGTACAAGTTAGCCAGGACGAGGCTGGGGCTCTCCAAAGCCAGGAACAGGAAAGATCGAGGAGAAATCAAGTCTGTTAGATGAAGAGGTGCACAGACCGACGTGAGATTGCTGTAAAAAGAACACTATGAAATCCTGGGGTACAAACAGAGAACAGCATCTACAAATGAAATAGTGTGTTGCAGGAATACAAAGACCAAGGCAAACATGACCGAACCTGTCATCTAGCAATTAGTGTGAAACCATTGCACTGATCAGCTTGCTGGGCACAATTCACTTGCCATTTTAACTTTCAAAGACAGAAAAGGGAATGAAGCAATTACATCCTCTCATTGTCTAATTTAACCAGGTTTGGTATCCGTCGCTGGCTGCCCAACAAGGTGAACTTAAGACATAGTACAAAAACAAACAATACAATGCAACATGTAAGGTAGCTTTCCTAAACCTAAGCTCTTCGGTGAGAAATATCCTCGTAGTTTAGATACAAGGTTGATATCTGAGGAGAGGTTTCAAAATCCAAAGGAAAAAACATGGGAGTAAACTAAGAGTACAAAGGGTTTAGGAACAAGCTAATCTCCAAGCTAAATTTCTATCGCTCTAGCTTCTAGAAAGCAGAACCGAGATGTGATTTTGTATTTAGTAAACTGAACCAAACCAATTGCATGGCTCTGTATTTAGAGAAAGACCAAGTGCAACAAAGAGACTTAGTCATACACAAAAAGGACTTCAGAGGAAAATGTTAATAGTTTCCACAAAGCACTGTCTAGAAGAAAGGAAGTTCTGGCTAAGGTGAAGGGAACATTTCATCCTTGGCAAAATCATCCCCATAATGTGTAAGAATACTGCAAGCTTCCTAAGCTAAAAGTCTCTCCTTCGGATGAATGGATGTGCTGGCTCTGATTCTAGGTTTATTAAGCTATCTTCTGAACCTGTGACTTCCCAAGCCAGAGCTTGTATGCAGGGAGAGAATGAACAGGTAAGACAGGCAGAAACCCCTTCTGCCCCATGACACTTGAACTTCTTAAGGTAAAATATTCCATTGTTACTCCTGTTGAAACATAGCTTTCACTGTAGCCTATTTAATAGGAGGAGAATACAAAGGCTCATGAGTGTGACATTCAGATCTCAGTTTATATGTGTGCCTTTGAAGTAGAGTCTATCACTGGCAGAAGCCTCTGCTTTCTGCTTAAAGACAAAAGCTGGGGTAGATGGTGAAACACTCAAGACCACACCCTGAACAGTATATGCAACCCTATGGAATCTTGTCAGGGAAGCCAGGTGGCTTTGGTTCCCAGGGTAATATTATGTATTGTCATTTCATATTGTATCTTCCTAATGATCAGGTAATGTAGAAATTGTGACTCAAACATGTGGTGGTAGGCAGGTTCCCAGCAACTCAGTGACAGCTGAGCAAAGGCTTTTTATGTCAAATAATTAAAGGACACTATACAATAGGACTGGAGATGTGGACTAAGTGTCCAATAACACTTGCTGTTCTTGCAGAGGACCCAAGTTCAGTTCCTAGCACCCACATGGGGGGGTGGCTCACAATTGCCCATAACTTCAGCTCCAGGGATCTTACCCCTTCTTCTTACCTTCACTGAATATGGTGCCATACAGACAAACAGGAACACACACATCACATAAAAAGGAGAGTAAACATTTTCAAAATAAATCACCATTTCAAACAACTTACACCTCATACCAAAGAAGGGGAATGAGTGCATTGCACATTTTACACCCTCTGTGCTGTCCTAGCAAAAGGATAGGCACTGTGCCCAAAGCACACCAAACAGAAGCTCTCCTGCTCAAATTTTAATCTCAAGCAAGGAGATAAAAACCTGAAACCAGGTAAATGTATGTGCAGCAAGCATCTCTCAGTTTCTCCTACCCAGATCCCTGAAAGCTAACCTTGTTCTTTAGCATCTGTCCTCTGTGTTAACCAGACCTGGCTGTTTGCAGTGAGACAACCTTAACTAAACTACAATCTGGTAGCACAATATCCAAGGAAAGCTTTTCAAATGCCAACCTTCTCCTTTGTCTCCCTCCATAATCCATAGTGTTACCAACCACTGATTCATCTTTATTTTTGAATACTTTACAACTCATATATTATGTCTGGCTACCAGAAGGTTTCCTTGGGAAGTGACCTTATAAACTTTTGTTTGTTTGTTTTCACAGGCTCCAAAAACATTAAGCAGCCTTGCCTGGGGACCGAAGCATTTCCCCTTTTCACTTTTAAGATGATATTTCAGATGTCTAATATGTCCTTTATAAAGTACTTGTGGGTGCACATAATGGAGAACAAAGTGGTTTTAAATCATAGCCCCTGTGCTTTGTTGGGAAGAACTATGAATTAAAGTGATAAAGAAGTAAAATAACTGAAAAGCTTCATGCTCCTGGGGTTTAAGAAGTTTTAGATAGAGAGTGGATTAAAGCGAGAAGGACCTGATAAGCTGAAAGGGTGGTGCTTTCTTCTGTGTTTTATACTGAAATGACTGGACAATATACCAAAGGGGTGAGAGATTTTGTAACAATAAAGAGAAGTAGGCATGAAGCTATTGTCCTTGAAACTTACCAGAATGCGAAAATGAGCTCACATTGCAGAACCAATCACCTACCTATAATAAGCTCGTCCTATTTCTTAGTTCTTCTTTATGTTTATATTCAAAATGAACAGGAGTCTCTTGTGTAAGTTCATAGTAGCCAAAAGCTAAAAACACAGTTCAATCAATCTGAATGAGTTTTTTTTCGTACATTTTCAGAGACAGAATTCACTTATCTACGAAAATCACAGAAAGGCAGCCTAAGAGCATGGTGAGCAAAGGAACGAAGCAGAGAGCTAGAGAAAAGGGAACATGATGTTGGTAGATGAGTCTAGTTGTTAGAAAGACCAGAGAGGAATGACATATTCCGGAGTTCTTGCATTTGTCAACAAAGGCATTTATGGACTCCCAGCTCGCCTCCTGCCAGGGCCTCCTCCGTGCACGGTCCTTCATAGGGAAGGCCTCTGGCTGGCGAGTCAAATTTCAATATTCTAAGAAAGAAGCAGCCTGGGGGTCTATATTTAGAGTATGACTCCCAGCAGTGAACAGGTGGCGCCTGGGGACTCACACTTTCATATTTTGTCCCTGAGTTCTGAGGGGATTGTGAGGATGATACAGTAAAATTGTTAGAGAAGGCAGGGAGTGAAAAGGTCTCTTTCTCCTGGGGACGAATTCAGATTCTGTATTTTGTTCTTCTACCTATGAGAAGGAAAAGAAGTTGATGTCACCAGTGTTGTAACCGTCTACAGTCATCCACACACCCTCATCCTCAATGTCACTGGAAAATGCTGAAGACTCGCCATTGACATGGTGATAGAGTGTAAATGAAGGGCAGAACTGCGGCCACCTCAGTAGTCTTGTGGTGATATGAAACTCTCCACCTGTCAAGTCTAGCTCTCATCAATGGGACAGCAGAGAGTACCCTAATTTCAGGGTGGTTCATGGGTTGGGTCATGAAACTACAATACAGAATTTAAATCCCTTGGAATGAAAAGCAGGTAATCTGTGATGATACTAATTTGTAAAGTTCATCTGAAACCTGAGTTGGTGTCTGCGTAAAATCTACCTTTTGGGTGAAACTGAAAGTCATTATTGAACCTTGTACAAGATCTCAATTTTCTGATGCCTGTGAGTTCAGTCAGTAAAAAGAAAGGGACAAATAAATGGCTCACACCTTTAAAATAGTCAGAACCTGACCATCCTCACCACTAATCCATTTATGTTCTGTCGATCATATTGGAAGCATGCTGGCTTTGTTTGGAAGAATACACTTGAAAACTGTAAGGCGCTATTTTAAAGCTGCTATTGAGAAGAAAATATTTTCGATATTGTACTAATGAACTTTGCCAAATCAATGAGATCTAGCTATTAACTGGAAAATCTTAATTTATTTTTATACATACAATTTAAAAGATTTGGAATGTGTTTATGGAGATAGCTTCATTTTGTCTTATGACAAAATAGTAGTCTACCAAATAGAAGAGATGAAATAAAACATAAATGGATCAAAAGTGTTCATACAAATTCCACTCACACCTGGGATTCCTTCGCTGCTCCCAACTTTGATGCAGAGACTGAAAATAGGAAGGAGTAGAAATTAAAGAAAGGGATGCAGGAGTTTGAAAGCCAACGAAAGGATCAGACAGTTCCCCCAAGAAGAAAGTGTGAATGCGCAGTCATTCGAGAAAGTCAAACTCAAACACGAGAAACGGTAACTTCTGGTTTCTGGTATTGTTACTGATAAAAAGACTAACAGGGCCCCAAGAACTGGGGGAGGTACGGAGCCTACTGGCGCCTGCCGCACTGCTTGTGGGAGTGGAAATTGGGGGCTAGAGCTCACTGGTGACGTGGCTATCACGTGACCCAGAGCCGCCTCGAGCTGAAGTCCTGTTAGTCGCCTCCGACTGGGTACCAACCCCCTATTACTCTGCAGGCGCGTGAAGGAGAAGGAAACTCGCTCGGACCGCACAGGTCGGTGGAAGCTGCCTGGAAGGTGATGTGGGTGGGAGAGGGCCAAGAGCATCTCGCGCTCAAGTTCCGCAGATAAGGGCTATGTCCGTTTCTCACCTACTTTTTAAAATACCTATCCCCCGACCCGCATCCCACCCTCGCTTCTTTTGATAGGGAGAAGTGGCGGGCTTCAGGTTGAGGTGAGAGGGGTGAACGGTAGTTGCATGAAATTCAACCAAAGAAAGGATCCACAATCCGGTCACCGTGTCCTGGGTGCTGGTCAGTCCACCAAGCACTCTGTGTCTCCCCACACACACCCCAGGTCCCCTGTCCGTTTGCAGGTCTTTGGGTCTCAGCGCAAGCCTTGGCTAGAGAGGGAGAAAATCGCTTTGACTGGAACCTTACTGCAGGTTTGAAGGTGGGATTCATCCCGAACCCAAGGAGTGGGTGGAAGAAGAGGGGGGCTGGGATCTTTGCGGGCCAGGTCCTAGTCGCCCTCTCCTGGCCCCTTCTTTCTCCACACCCCCTCCCATTTCGGTGCAGGGAAAGGGGTGTGGCGGCCTTTGCTGGGGAAATGGCGGACGAGGAGGGGGCGGGGAGGCCCTCGTTAGCAAAGTCGGGAGGGTGTGAGAAATTATTTTTACTCAAAAATCCCAAATACAGAAAAAGCACCTATCGGTGTAGTTAGATCTGTCCGACTACACTTCAGTTCTCTATTGCTGGCTACGGAGCTTTTCGAATGTCCTTTTGCCAGGCTCGGTCCATCTACCACCGTGCACGGAATAAAGCAGAAGACACGAGAAGAAAAAGGAATTCACTGTATATTTCAGAGGTTGGTTAGAAAGCATGTTATGGTTTTGGGGTGGGGAGGAGGAGGAGGCAAAGTAGGTGGGTGCTAGAGGCGACCGCATGAGGGTTAGCTGTCCCTGTCACCTGCCTTCCTATCACATCACAGTCTCCTCTCCTGTCTACCTCTGAGAATCCTGGAAGCCTAAAAGTATAATCGGAGGGTAGAGATGGGAAGAAAGAGAAGAATAATGACATCATTACCTAATAATCCAACTTCCTCAACAAGAATTTGAACTCCTATCTGTCTGGGCAGGCACCCAGTCACAGCTGGGAGTCCTAATGCTATTTCTGTCCCCCTTAGAGTCACCACCAGAATCACAGAACCTAGGAGAGGCTGAAGATTACTGGACTGCACCATAGTTCACCAAACCGCTGTGAGCTCTCTTCAATCCGGTGAAGAAAGGCCCTCTCCTGTCTGGCCAAAAGGCTCACACCCATTCAAGTATGGGTCGGGCCCGGGAAATGGGTTGGATGGCAGCAGGACTGATGATAGGGGCTGGCGCCTGCTACTGCATGTACAAACTGACCATGGGAAGAGGCGCAGGAAATGAACTGGAGGAGGAGGAGGAAGATGATTGGGACGAGGAACAGGATCTGGATGAAGAGGAGGCAAATATTTGGTTTGATTTCACAACAATGGCTCGGCCCTGGAGTAAGGATGGGGACTGGCGTGAACCTGGGGCCCCAGGTGGGACTGAGGACAGACATTCAGGTGGGGGGAAGGCAAACAGAGCACACCCAATAAAGCAGCGACCATTCCCTTATGAACATAAAAACACGTGGGGTGCACAAACCTTTAAATCCTTCAGTTGTGCTCTGGACCTGAGCAAGTGTGCTTCCATTCAAGGAAAAAGCATGTTCACCAAGCCCACAAATTCTGGCTTTCCCCTTAGCCACAATGTCAGTAGGCACTGGGCCAGCCTCTCAGTGGTTGCAAACAGGATCCCCACCCCCCAGACCACTGTGAGGGAGAAGGCTTTGTGTGTCCCGGAAAACCTGAACACCGGTATTGGAAATCAGGGCCAGATTGAGATGTCCATCGATGAAGTGTGTCGAGAGACGGTGTTACATTGCTGCAAGTCATTTCTGCAGCAGGCCGGATTAAATCTGCTAATAAGCATGATGGTTATTAATAACATGCTTGCCAAGTCGGTTTCAGACCTGAAGTTTCCTTTGATATCCGAGGGCAGTGGATGTGCAAAGATTCAGGGTTTGGAAGCACTGATGGGTTTGTCTGAAAAGTCAGTGTTGGCTGGGGAAGTGTTGGCTGCCCAAATGCTGTTCTCTTTCTTGCTCCTCTTTATGAGAGGTGGGAACAGAGAGATGCTCGTAGAAGCCCTCTCCCCATAAGCAGCAGCAGAAGGAGACTGGATCCACCCAGGGCCACAGCAGTTTACCGAGGCCAGAGAAGCTGCAGTGGGTGCAAGCAAGGATGCAGCCTTAGCCAGTCAGCTCCTCCTTGGACAAAAGTTCCAATAGCTAAAAAGAGGGCCACACTCTTCTTGGCCAGGCAGGGGCTCCCCGGAACTGTGGGCAACTTGTGGGTTTTGTAGTCTGCAGGAAAAGTGCATTGTAAATTGCTCCCTTGCAGTCTTCCTCCTGCGGTAAAAGGTAAAGGGATCACCGTTGGCTGCTAACTGTAGATAACAAACATCAAATCACAGCATCACCAGTGCTGTCGTTGCCCGAGGTGATCTCCCTGTCTAGGCAGGACCACTTAGCAGAAATGACACCCACATGGGAGCTCGTGTCAAACTTGCATCTGCTGTCACTGCTAAGGTTGAAGTATTTTCCCCATTCCTCTTTCCTACACTAGCTGATGGATGGCTAGCATGTTAATCAAAGAAATGCACCCCCTCCTGTCCATTGTACTGACTGACCTTCCTCCACCCAAGCCCCCACCTGTGTGTATCATCAATAAACTCGTGTGCTTTGATTGGCAAGAAAACTGAAAGGGGGCACGGGCCTCATCTTTGATTTTGGTCTGCACAAGCAGGGAGACAAAATGCACCATGGAGTCCAGCTGCCTGGGGCCCCTGCTCCCTGACAGGAGCATTTGCCAGTGCTCAAGGAGGCAGGGGCAGAAAGGGATTGCTGCACCAGGGTGAAGGAGCTGCAAGAGGGGCTCAGGGGAGGGGCGAGGGCAGGGCTAGATTCAAGGCCTGTGTGCAGATGTAGGGGAGACAACACCCTTGACGCAGTCGCCCCGGGGTCCTGAGTCCAGGAAGCCCTGAAGCAAGAGGTCTTCTTACTGGCCTCCTGTGTACCCCTCAGTGGCTGTGTCGCCCGCCTGTGCCTATCTGGTGGAGGCTTCTCCCAGCAGAGATTGCCACTTGACTGGCTCCTGCTAGGTTCATATCTGTCTGTCCCCTTAAGATGCTGTCAAAACCACTTCCTGCCCCCTTCCTTCCTCGGGGTCCCAAGCACTGCTTCCTGGCATGGTGAGAGGGTTGGCAGCTGCTCCACTTTTGGGGACCCTCCTTTCTTCTGTAGCCTTCCCTAGAGGTAGAGCATCCAGGAACTCCCACAAGGATATGA